AGAACTGCAACTAATGATTATTTTCAATATTGATTAATCTACCAATCATTTTATCAATTAATTGTTTTGTCTATAAAAGTCAGAAAATAGTGAAAAAATCCCCATCTTGTTTGGTCTGATTAACAAACATCCAAAGATATTAAGTTAATGACCATGTATGATAAAGAAAAGCATCAAATCCTCACATTTAAGAAGCTGTTTTGCTTTAAAAATATTTAACAATTATTGAATTATTATCAAAACAGTTGCAGAGTAATCAATTAACTTTAGATATTGCAGATCATTTATTCCCTTTTGGGAAGCAAGTTTAGGAAACCTCACTGATTCAGAAGAGCTGAACTTTTATTATCGAAGTCCACTGATTCTCAACCTTTCAGGTGTCAAGGACCCCCAACTTGATCAATATCAGACTGTGGACCCAGAATTGATCCCCGTCAGATAAGACTGAGTAATTCCATAACTGTCTTTACTGTAGATTGGCAGTGAAAGGTGTGAAACATTAACAAAACAGTCTCTAAACACCCTCTCATTGGGCTAACTCCAAGTCAATGACATAATTAGTAAAAGTGAAATATTGTACATTTTGTTGAGGACCTGGAACCCCCTCAGGGACCACAGGTTGAGAACCACTGATGTAGTTTCAGTCACAGACCTTTATGCTGTCAGTCTGTCTCAGGGTCCACACACAGGACACCCTGTTACACAGCAGCTGTCCTCCCACATGTCACTCACCATGAGCTCACTCTGTGGCAGACCCTCCACCGGGATGGAGCCGAACACCCGGGCTTCATGGCTGCCCTGCTCGGCTATCTCCGTGCCCTCCTCGGTCAGCTCCCAGTGTTTGGAGGAGCGCAGCTCGGCGGAGATTATCTGGACAGCGGGGAACAAACCACAGAGTGAATATCATCCTAACTGGCTCAATGGACGCTGTTATGTATGTCACACAATGCTGAGCTCACTACACACGACTGACAGTTCACGGTATTGCATCAGTCACACTACGTGAACATTGTTGACGGTGAGTGTTTGGACTTCCGCCGCCCGGGAAACTCACGTCGCCGAGAGCCTGGAGACTCTTCACGGCCCCGACGATGACCTGGTGGTCCACCCCGAGGCTGGCCGCCACCTCCAGGCTGTCCACGCCGTCGTCCACCTTTTCTATCCGCCGCAGGAGCGTCTCCACGACACCGGTGTCCGCCATGCTGCAGCCCCGTGAAGCCCAAAAGAGGCCGGATGTGACGTCGGGTTCCGAAAGGCCTAAAGTATGAGAGTAGCGAGGCAACAACAATGAGGTAATGGATTACCGTAAACACTGTGGTAGGTTGGTTTTGTTCTGCCCTTTTAGTCTTGGTTTTACGGAAGATTTAATTTGAGTTTCTGGGTTTAAAAAAAGTACGAATTTTGAGTTTTATTTTTTATTTTTTTACTTTAAACTCAATTTAAATAAAATGTTATATTTTGGAAACATGCAGTGGTGGAGAGATATTAAGATTACTTACTTGAGTAAAATAGTAAAACCACAGGGTAGAAATACTATAAAATAAAAGTTAAAAAAAGCATTAACATCATATTTAGGGAACAAAGGTAAAATTACTCATTATACAGTCAATTTCAGAATCAATAATGTTGCTGCTGGTAAAAGTAGAGCTAGTTTTAACTATATGTGTGTGTGTATTTAGATTTCAGATAAATGTAGTGGAGTAAAAAAAGTATAATATATTGCACCCAATTGCAGTGGAGTAGAAGTTAAGTACAGCTACCTTAAGAGTTATTAGTTTAAAAAATTGTTAGTTTTAGTTTTATAATTGTCATTATTATTATTTTTTTAAATTATAACGTGGCAGGTATTTGTCAGGAGCAAGTTGAGAATCAGTATTACAATACAAACACATTGATTCACAGTCATGTAGACGGTCCTAGTCTCAATAAACAATACACAATACCTCCTCGTGCTTGTTGTGTTGATACATTTGATCAAACTGACAAAGCCTAAAGCCAAAAAAAAAAAAGCCTGCATATTTTTATTTCATTTTAATTAGTTTTGTAAGCACTCAATGTCACGCCAGATAGTTAAAACATTTTTTCCAAGATCTAGCTTTTATTTCAATTAAGTGAAATGTTTTTTTTTTTTTGTTTAGTTTAGTTAACTCCTACCTCAAAAGTGTACCTGAGTACAAGTACTTGGTTACGTTCCACCAGTGGATACGTGTACTTTTTGTATTGTTGAATAGAATAAAAATGGGATTTTTCAGCAGTGTACTTCTAATCTTGGTACAAAAGCCAAATTAAATGGTATTCACAAAGGAGTTCAAACTGTACAATGAATTTATTACACATGTATGAATCCAAATGCTGTGAAAAATGTTGACTTATTAATAAAACAAACATACTGTCACACTGTATATTCAGTTACCCCATTACCCATCTTATATTAATCATATCAATAGTACAAATATTCGATATATTAAGTCACAACTGTAATAAAGACATCTATTTAAAATAAAACTCATTTATTAATAGAAACACAGTTTGTTTTACATTAACAGGAACAAATCCCACCCAATCAAAAAGCTACACTGAGCAGAAATGTGGATAGAACATCAGAACGTAAAATGTGTTTCCAGTAATCTCCAAAACCATTTATTAAAATAACTATTACACTATTACAAAATAAGCTGAAAATTACACGCAATGCAAAAAAGAACAAGCTATTCTGGTCTATTGAATTGTTACAAAAAATACAACAACCTTTGTAGTTTAAAACTACAAGATTTTACTAGTTTCACATGAGAAAGAAATGCGTTCACCACACAACTCTTTAAAAAGAAAAGGAAACCAAGTCAGAGCTAGTGAGTGAGGAATCTGTAGCATCAGCCTTCGTATTTAGTGATGAGGATGAGGACTGGTAGCAAAGATTAAAAACAAAAATAAGAATAACTGAAAAACACAAGACTAAGCACTGACCAGACCACTGAAACAGACCACTAAATTCAGCCAACACTCAGCTCTGACACTTACAAAGTCCAGACATCTCAATTTGTGCCCACATGTGCCACATAGAAACCCAAAAAGCACATAAGAAGCAAACATGGAAAAGGCAGAGAGCACTGGCAAGCCGTCAATCACTTTCTTTGGAGAAGGCTTGAGACACTGATGCAGGATGCTTGGTGCCAATGATTCACAGACGGAGTGATACAGTCTATCTGTACTGGTAATTCATGCTGCCGTCTCCCCTGCCGTAGCCCACTGGGTTGTGGTACTGAGAGTGGTTGGTGCCGAAGCCCTGGTGGTTGCCGCCGCCTCCTCCCCCACCTCCTCCTCCCTTGTTGGAAGTTGATAAAGTACATTGAGACTGGTTTGGGTTAAACCTACAAAGAGCGGATGGGACAATTAAGTTCAGGAAAAACGATTCCAAAAAAAAAAAAAACAAAAAAAAAAAAGGTTATAAATTTCCCTTTTAAAGAATGCTGCCAATCTACATTTCTTTCCCGGCCACTTTTGGGGCAAGCAGAAACACAAGTGGGGACAGTTATTGACAATTACCTTTCCTTTCCCAAATTCATATAAAGTGTGAACCTTGTTTCTTTGTGGGCTTCCAGGGTTTAGCTTTTGGGGGTTTACAACAGCTTGCCCTTTTAAATTTACACATCCCCGTACCGGTGGGACCATTTTTATCATTTTGATCCTGGAGTCGGTGTTCTTCCACCCTGATGAATGAATACCCGCGGGAATGGAAAAAACATTCCAAAATAATTTCATTCCTCCTTTTGGCCTTGTTTGGTTTTTCTTCCATCTCCTGAGGGAAATATCTGGCTCTTTCACTGCTAAATGTTCACCAGCTCTGTCTGATGCCGAGCAGGTAGTGTACAGTGCCATTTCACTATAAACCACTGCAGCTGAAAATGCCACTATGTGAGCAGTTACAATGGACTTAAACAGTAACGTTATGGGCCAGAGGGCTAAACTTCACTGTCATTCAATACAAAGATTTATTATGACACACTACAATGTTTTTTTCTTTAGGCACTGACTGAATCTGTCTCACTAAGGAGAAATGAGGAAAAATGTATAATTTCAAGTCAGTATGTTATGATTAATATTTGTTTTAACAAGATATGTTCATTTTGTGTACTAAATTGTGATACAGCAAGCAAAAGTGACGCATTATAAAAAGCAAAGTGGAGACGAAATCATTTTGTAATTTGAAAAAGGAAAATGTTCTCAGGACAGAAACTGAATAACATTTGTTGTCATGGTAGCAGCAATAGTCTGGCGTACTTGGTATGCGTGATGTAAAATCTAATTCTGAATCAAAGTGCTTTCAGAATTAACATTTCCTTAACTCACCTTCATAACTGTAGTCTTGGCTACCTCCAGCACCCCCCGTCACCTGGCTCGGGTAGGCAGTGCTGTAGGAGTAGCCACCTGTCCCCCCCTGGTTCTGGTTGAAACTCTTCTTTCCCTGCCCATAGCCCTGGCCATACTGGTTATAAGAGCCCTGCCCTGGGGGGCTGTTGGACTGGTACCCGCCTGCAGATCCAGTGTTAGCCCCTGGGGGACCTGGAAAAGGTGGCTTCCCTCCCTTGTGCATGGGGGGTTTCTTTTTGGGGGCTTTGGCTGCAGCAGTGGCAGTGTAGGCTCCGTCACTCTGGTAGTATGAACCATAGGAGCCCTGTGCTGATCCTGGTGCTGTGCTGGCTGGAGGGCCACCTGATGGGCTGCTTGATGCCCCGGCTCCTCCATTTGTACCACCATTGTTGTAGTAATCTGGAAAATAACAGTATGGCACACAGTCTTAAAATGGGCAGAAGTTGATAGATCTTAACAGCTACTGCTTGTATATAAGCTCTGTGCAATACATTCTCGTCGTGTACTCAGAAATTAATTCAGACCCTGGAGTAACACAGTAATGAATGGTGATGTCACATTTATTAAAAAAACAGAAACATATAAAAAACAGCTAGAGCAAGAAGTCTTCCCCCCAAACATACATCAGATTTTCAAATTCAGCCAGTCTGTGTGTGCAAATGCAGTGCCAACAGCCTCGGTTCATCAATGCCTAATGCTGTTACAGATACTACCCAACACAAAGTAAGACCAACATGCATTCAGTGTAGCAGTGACTTAACAGTGTTGCTGATATGACACAGAAACAGCAGATTCAACATAAACAAAAGCAAAACCAGAAAATAAAACAGCTTCATCGTGATTGGAAGTGACAGAAAGGCATTAGAATGAAATAAAAACAATGTTCTCGGTATTGTCGTCTAGGTAAACCGTATGAGACACAGAGAGACCAGGCTGTTGCTGTCTTTACAATAATCCAGAAGGAAGAATGCAGTTCCCACAGGCCTTCATTTAATCTTGATCCAAATGAACAGAACCAAAGCCCCGTCCCCCGGTCCGACACATGGAGGCAGTCTACAGTAAACCAGCCCTGCGGTTCGGGGAGGTCCAGGTGTTCAGGTACGTCCACAGCAAACAGAAGGTGACTTATGGCTACATGCATGCGGTGACGGTTCGTCTCCCCGAGGTGTCAGGACATAACGAGTGGATTGGCGAGACAGGGCGGAGGGGTTGTTGTCACGTTATTCCCAGGGTTGTGGACTTGGTGGTGAAGGGAGTTCATGATGCTGCTGGAACACTACTGAGTATTTTGTCCACTTTTATCGTCTCTACAGGACTGTTTTTGATTTTCTAAGACTGGGGAAGATCTATGTCGCAAACTCGTGGTAGCCATAGCAGTCTGAGACAAAGTCACCTAAAGAGTGAGACAGGGCAGAGAAGGGAAAAAAAATATCAAAATTAGATTTGTTTATTTGGATTTTTTTTTCTGCCGTAAAAGCGGCAGTAGAATGACTCATTTGGTCAGATTGCGTTTAAACTCAGTTGTTGGGTTTTTTTGTTTGTTTTTTTTTAGATTTCTCTGCTCCTGTCACGCTCAGGTAGGTCAGTCCTCAGAACAGGCTGCCAGAGGGAAGAAAAGGGGTTCTCATAAGAGGGGGGCTTGTCAAAAACAGATTCAATCCTGTGGCTTAAAGCAGAGAAATGTAAAATCATTGAACTGGGAACACCCCAACATGTTTTATCATGATATGCTTTTGTTTGCTCTGGAGTGAAACAGTTCTCTAACATTGGCTACATTCCCTTGTTAGTTATAACACAGGTAAGAAGTGGAAGAGGCTGTTATTTCACAGTCCTGGCCAGATGCACCATCCCGTCTGAGGACTTCTCACGTGGTAAATGAAAGACAGTAAATATCCAGTCAAACCAGGACTATAATGGTTGAAATAAATACTCACTGTATCCGGAGTTAGCACTGTTCCCGTAACCATATGTTCCGAATCCACCTGGAGGGATTAAGGACATTTAATATGCTGACCTTGTCGATTATGTTAATTATGTCTACAGTATGTCTGCTACAGCAGAAGGGTGTTTTTACCTCCTTGGCCGTAGCCTCCTCCGTTATTGAAGCCCCTGCCCCTTCCACGTCCCCGTCCACCCCGTCCTCTGCCCCTGGGCGTAGCCCCGTCTCCCACTCCAGAAGCTCCCATCATGCCAAAGCCTGGAGTGTGCTAAAGAGGTAACAAGCATGTTATTTGTGCTTTTCATCAACGCTGAACAGCAACATTTTAGAGACATGAATTTAAAAAAAAAAAAAAGTGATAACATTATATTACAAAAAGCCCAGCAGATTTATGTAAACTGTAGCTCTGTATCAACTGTGTGTCAGTTGTAGTTTCTTCCTCCTGACTGCTGCAGAGAATCTGGGCCCACTGATGATGACACAATAAGTCATATATAGCTTAAAAAAAAAATACCCACATTTTTAAACTAAATGTTTTATTTTTCTTTAATTGGTTTAATAAAACAGTGTATGACTTTAAAGCAGTAAAGACATGATGAAATAAAGAACAAACGATTTCATTGTGTTTTATTGGGCGCTTACCATGGGTGGTCCCTTTTTCTTTTTAGCAGCCTCAGCCACAGAGCCTTCAGGGAAGAGCCGCTCCAAAGCAGCCAGGGCAGCGTAAGCCTTGGCCACCTTCTTATTGGATCCTGTCCCCTGAAACTTCTGGCCGTCAATCTCCACCTCCATGACGAAGCGTTTGTCGTGGCTGCCGCCGGTCTCCGAGATGAGCTCGTACTTCAGCCCACGGCGCTTCTCATTCAGCTCCATCACAGGGTTCTTGCCGTGTTTAGTCAGGATTGGTCCCTGTTGGCGAGCAGTCTGAGTCAAAAGAGAAGTAACAGTCGGTAAAATGATATATATAATGTTTTTTTTGTTTTTTTTTTTAAAGGTCAACTTCATGCAGAAATTGTCAGTTGCTGACCCACAGAACAGCTTTGTACCTCTACAGCATCAGCGGTGTCTGCGCTGGCTGCTCCTGTGGCAGCAGTGGTAGATTCAATGGGTGTGACTACTGGCCTCAATTCTTCCACACTGGCAGCTACTACCGCCTCCTCTGATTTTACCGGTTCAGCAGTCTTTAGTTCCACTCCTGTGGGCAGGCCCATGTCCTGGAGGACCTGGAATTAGCCACACAGATGCATTGTGGTTTAAACACACACATAATGTCAAATAATTAAAAGAAAAACTCACAACCGTGGAGTGAGAGGCAATATCAAAATGTATTATTTACTTATAATATGTTTGCTGTGAATGCTGTGCTCACCTTTACAGCTACATGCAGCTTGGCAGTGCGCTTGGATGGACCAGAAGCCTCAAACGTTGTGCCATCCACTTCTACAGCCATAGTGAAGACCGGAACATGAACTGGGCCGGTCTGAGATACCAGTTTGTACTGGAGACCTGGCTTCAGCTGATTGAGCCTCATCAGAGCGTTCATAGCCTGGGGAGGCTCAGCCTTCTCCTCTGGAGCTGTAACAGCATGACACACAGTCAGAGACGCATTATGCAGGACTTCAAATATCAATTAATCGATTGATTTGTTTTCTTTATTTGATTAATCATTTAGTCTATATAGTATTTTTTACTTACATTTCTTCTGGAGCTTCTTCTTTTTCTTATTTGGACTCTTGTCATCTGTTCCCTCCTCTTCTTCAATGGGCCTTTTCATTGGTGGGGCGTACGCCGTACTAGGTGGGATTTGCACTGCATCACAGACACACAACATTTTGCCTAAGAATATACAGGTACCTTATTACATTGCTTATCTATAGCATATTGTAAAAAGATCTTAACCAGCAGTCTCTACTGTGACGACTGAATATTGAATCTCGTAGGTAAGCTAGCCCGGTTTACCTGTGTAATCAATGGGAGTCTCACTACGAGGTTTCTTGGGCATTTTAGAGGGAAGGGGGTCCATTCCGAGCACTTTGTGAAGCTGTCCGAAAGCTGACAGCCTTAAGGCATGCTGAAGATACAAGAGACAATTGTCAATTTCACTTTTACTAAATTGAGAATACATAAACACGCATAGTTTGATCTTACTCACTTGTGCACTTGCTGTGATATCTTCTCTCTGCTGGTGGTCCAAGTGACCAATAGCATCTGTGGCCTCCTTTTCACATGGATCAGAGATACCAGCACCATCTATACCACAAGGATACTACACTTTTAGTTTAACTTAACTTTGGGAAATAGAGAACAGCATAGAGAACACTTAAGAATCATAACATCTGAAGAAGAGAGTCCACATTCATACCTGCCATGAGGATTCCTGAAGCCAGACACTCTAAAACTCTCCGCAGAGCTTCTCCTGCCCCCATGGGCCGGTTCCCTGTGCCAATGGCTTTCTCACAGATCAGCTCCAGTGGCTGCAAAGCAGGAAAGGGAGGGAGCATCTTTGTTTGAGGATGCTATTTTTAAGCTCGGTCACTAACACGGGGAGATTTTAGGTCACTGCGTTGGATAGTATCTCTGCTATTTAACAACCGTGATGGTGGTGCCTTTTATTGTATCCAGGCAGACAAAGCTTCATCAAAAGGATATGTGAATGTTGAAGACAGCTTAGCAGTTTTGAACAGACAACTTAGTCTTAAGACAACTACCTTCCTACACATTGACAAATGTCAGAAACCATTACCACCGCGGGTCCAGGAAACACTTTGAGGAGGCTCTCACTCACCCAGCCACGAAGCGGGGCCCACGTGGGGACGCGGGCACACAGGTCCCTTAGGATCCGGATGACGATAACACAGGAGCGCAGCCCGTTGGCTCTCGCCTGGGGACACAAGCAGGGAGTGGGGAGGGAGGGGCACGAGGAGGACAAGCAGCCTTAGTCAAAGAGGAAGACTGTGAGGCATTAAGCAACACAAACATCCAAAGACATGAAAAGGAAATAAAAATGAAGCCACACAGACTAACAGCTTAGCTTTGTCATTATGAAAATGTATATAATTATAATAATAATAATGATAATAATAATAATAATAATAATAATGTTTGGTCACTTTGTTCGAAGAGCCTACTAATGATTATTCACATTCATAGTTGTAAGTCAATAGCTGACATTTAGTTTAGTTATCAGACATATAACATTTCTGTTTGTGGGGAACAGATGCTTATGAATTAAGTTCAGGAAGAAGAGTGTGAATGATGTCATCTCAAACTTAATACCAGCTCTTATGTGAGAACCAAGTGAACTTCTACTAAAAAAGGGTGAGCATTGTCATTGAATAGGGTCATGGTTAAGTAAAAAGAAAAAGCTACACAAGGTGCAATATTCCTGTTGATTTTGTGGCACACAGTAACAGAAACAGCCAGAGAGCAGGAAAAGGAGGCCACATACTCTACAGAAGCTGCAGAGATGGAGCACCGATTGTTAATAGAGAGTGAAAGCCGAAGATGACGTAGGCCACAATACTATAATGAATCATTATTAATATGGTTCACTACAAAAAACATTTTCTCTTCAAAACTACAGAATGGGGCAGCAGAAAGTGCTCTACAAGTAGCGTATATGTGAAAATAAAAACAACTGACTCACACCAACACTGACATTATAGAAATATTGCACCTGGATACATGGTGTATTAGTCCCACGTTTATTTGCTGATTGAGTTAAGCGACTGTGAGGGAGACTAATGAACTGGGTGACTAAAAAGCAGCAACTTTTTAAAAAAAAAAAATGGCACTGCAGTAGAACCTGTTAAGTGAGCAAAGCAAATCTACAACAGTGTAATGACAAAGGTTTCCTAAGAAACAAACATCCAGATCATCAAGTATTACTACAGGAAGTACACTTCAAAAGAGTAAATAAAGAAAAAAAGACATAGAACGCCCAAATAAAAGACAAAAGAACATACAGCATAAAACCAAACTCAAATCTACTTCTGTTTTAGAGACAAATAAAGACAAGATCCAAACCTGGAACCACTTAGCGTGGCGGAGAGACGCCAAGGCAGTTAGGCATTTCTGCCTGTCCAGAACATCCGGGGGATCGTTGACTGAAAGCGATTCTATTGGCAGGTGGAATAAGAAGACAAGGTACAGTTTGACCAAGGGGAGTTCTGTCAGCCGGCCAGGGGGAACACAGGCAGCCTTCCCAAACCACAGGCAGGAGGGAGAAGGGGAGGGGGACCCCTCCACTGCAGAACCACCAAACGCTCTCAACCTCCCAGTTAATATGTTTTTGCACGGCCCGGCACACATGATTAGACTTAAACACCACCAGAACGACAGTATTGTGAAGTGGGTTATAACTTTACTTGTGCATCTACGGGATAATAATTGGTAGTATCAAATGGGAGGTTGTCTCTACATGGCTGCTTCAGCTTAAATTGATGCTTCGGTGCTTTAAAAAAGGTCTGCTTTTCTTTTTTGTGGCGTTAACAGGAGGTAGAGCCCCTCCCCTTTGCCCCTATACTGGGTACACTGCACTTTGCCCCTTCCGAGACAGAGAGCGGCCAGTTGGTCAAAGGTCCAGCGTCCCTAAAAATTGACAAACTAGAAGGCTTGACAGAGAGAATCAGAATTGGAACCACAGGCAGAAGTTATCAGATGCACAAAAAGTGGGTATCAAAACAAGTCCACACTGCAGCAAAACTGATGGCTTAAAAAGACCCAAATTGGGCATCACTGTTAGCGCAGGGCTACAGATAAGGTCAAGGTTCAACACCTGCTTTAACTCACTACTGTGGAGTGCTCTCAAAGAATGCCAACTAATGGACATCTTACTTTGGTCTTGTGAAGCTACAATTAAGCTTAATGATTAAATAATATTTCATGATACCTACGTCTATTTCTACGCAAACAACGGAGGCCGATCACCTGGATTTTGAGTGTAGTTGCACATACATGCAGAATCCAAGTGTCCCTTGTCGTTATCTGTGACCCTGAGCCTCCCTGCTAAGGAACATCAGAGACAGTCAATAGCCCACTGTTGGGTCTAACAACCAAGGACAGTTTCACCACATGTTTTGCTACTCATTTTTGCTGCAATGCAAACCGTTCATCATCAATGATAAAACACATGCAAACAAAGTGGTCTCTCTTTTTGTATTTGGTTAAATTCTCAGTAAGCCTTCATTTCGTTGGTGACCTTGATCCTTAAGGGGGAAGAGAAAGCCATGTCTTCAGCAGTCAGTAAACTACCTGCCCTATACTGTATATTGGGCCATCAAAAATGTACAATTACATTACATGGAACTACGAGAGTGTCTAGAGAGCTATAAGCATAGCGCAGTTTCATTATGTGACAGTGCATTCTTGTCCCCTAGCTCCATTGAAGGCCCAATAAACAATATCTGTCTAGCCTGGTTGCCTGCCTGGCCTCCCTGCTGGAGGAGGGGCGCCACTACAAAGGAGGCCCTCGTGTAGGAGCTTACCTCCGGCAGCGGCCCTCTCAATCTCCTCGCGAACCAAAGGGGAGGTCAGGTGTATGGTGAGGGTGAGAGGGGGCTCCTTGGTGTTCTTGATAACAATACTGGCCTCGCGGATGTTCTGGGACACCACATATTTTTCTTCTGTTGCCTGGGGAGAAGCAGAGTGTTAAAGACACAAGGATGAGACCACTGCTGGTTGTTTAACAATGTTTGTTGAAGCCATTACCATTTTCTTCATTAAAATTGATAAATTGTTTGACCTATAACATAATGCAGTAAAAATGACAGGGTTATAAATAGTTTAGCGCTACATTCATAACGTTGACTTTCAAATTCTAAATTCAACATTTGAATCCAGTGGAGCTTTTTCGCATGTCCGTTCATTCTGCAGTGCACGAGGTGTCAGGTGAGGTTACATGGCTGCCTCACCATCATACGTTCGTGTCAAGTGCTGCGAGTCCATGGCTGCGTTTCATTAGTAGTTCCACTTCCCCTCGTTCACTTCCCCTCAGCCCTTGGTATGACGTAACAG